TCTCCTTTGACTGTTCTCTGATCCTTTATAGTCCCTATCCTCACGCTCTCCCGGCTCAACTCTACAAGACTCTTGGAAAGTTCGCCTCTGTTAAAGCGACTTTCTGGTCCCTCTGTTGGATCCAAAATTGCCACTCGACTCGACTCAACTTGTTGGTGCAACATGTTGACCCCTTTGCCTTTTGTGACCGATTGCATAAATGCGGCAATCGGTCTCAGGGACTCGATCAAATCGGCTTCGAGACACTTGCGAAATCGCGTCGTTCAGTTTTCCAGTCAGCATTGCAAGAGTCGATTGCTGAATTGCCCTCATATTTCCTTCAATAAAAAACCGGTTTGCTCGACTCGATCTCTCCTCTTATGTGCCAAGCAATCAAGCACAGCCAATAGAGTAAGCAATATTTTCACATACTTATTGGATAATCAAAGTAAGCCAGACAACTTATATTCACCGGGACTTGGATGACCTCATCGAACTGTTTCAATGAGCATATTGGTATCAAAGCAAATTATCTGCTATTGCATATTTTGTCATTCCATACTCGCGGACAAATGACAACTTTTGGACAGTCACCGTTATATTCAATTTGGGAACTTTACTAGCATTGTATTACTTTTTAACTAAGAACTTTCCCTTAGTGAACCAGGCAGGCCACACAATTGCCAGTATGAATATATATTACCATCTTAAATATGAATATAGGCAGTGTATTATATTAATTAATTAATAATTTATTATAACAGGATTAATTGTTTTTAATGCTGATTTGAGTACATTTAATTATAATAGCAATTTTTAGGATAAACAAATAATAAGTAATAATAACAATATAACTGATATTAAACTAAAACACCTATTGAATTTGTTTGACCTTGTTTTCTCAACGTGGCCATATTGGCAGGAAGACGTAGATGAAGGCACCTAGTCTGGAGTCCGTTGTATGCATTATCCTTATTTTTCGTATTTGAGTAGAGTTTCGCGACTACCAGTAAATCAGTAGTATGAGATGTATTTACCCGATTTCGTTCAAGGTGATGAAGGACTGATAGAAGAAGAATTTTCCCACAATGATATTAGTTGAGCTGACGTTTTCATTCATTTCACATAGCCTTGCTTTCCCAAAAGTTGTTCTCATCCCGGCTGGAGTGGACTGCAGTTTCGACCTCGCATCGGTCATATCAACACCCTCAGTGGGAGTCGAACCGTGACAGTGAAGGATGGGAGCTTAACACGCTAATCACTCGGATGAGAACAACTTTTGGGAAAGCAAGGCTATGTGAAATTGAATGGTAGGGTCAGCTCAACTCATATGCTTGTGGGAAAATTCTTCTTCTACCAGTCCTTCATCACCTTAAACGAAATTGGGTAAATAAATCTAATGTTGAATTATCATTTCTAAAGTCGGACCGTGGACGTGGTACATTTCCAGACGTTTTGCCGGCATCGTCAGTGAGTCTCGCAATTCTTAGCACCACACAACAACTTGTCGATCCTTTGACCAAACGTGGGCTAAACAGTTGTGGTATCTCTTCGTCGGCCCTGGCCTATTCCAATTTCCTATATCGTCCTATCACGCCTTCACTGTTACGAGGATATAGGAAATGTGAATTGTCCAGGGCACAAGGGGAGATACCACAACTGTTTATCACACGCTTGGTCAAAGAATCAGCTTCACTTGTCTCTTTGACGAGTTGTAATATGGTGCTACGAATGGCCAGACTCACTGACAAGGCTGGCAAAACGTCTGGGAATGTATCACATCCACGATCCCAATCTGGAAATGATGCTGCATACAATGGACTCCGGACTAGGTGCGTTTCTTTAAGTCTTCCTACCGACATGACCGAGTTGCGAAAACAAGGTCAAACAACTTCTATTCAACGAAAAAAGACTGCGACCACACAAAAGGCCACACCATCTTGGTCTTCATACCTTCGATAAAACACGTAATATTTATTAAATTGTAATCGATTTTCAAAAAGCCCAAATACCTTATTCACTATGAACAACTTTCGACACAATCAGTAGATCTGGAATAAGAACTGGTTCGTAAAATGTTATATGGAATTGAAAAATTAAGTCTTATCATGTATTTGGTTCTACTTGGTCTCGTCTCAAAAAAAGTATTTCCATCCAAAAGGTACTAGTTACTATGATTTTTATTAACAATCTACTAATTGTAGCAAAACTTAGTTATAATGTATGGTAATGGCATATTTAAATTTGTCTATTTGCTAGTGGGAGCATAAAAATGTGATTTGGGACGATCGTGGCTTATCCCAGAAATCACTGACATCCATGGCAATGTTGCTTAATGGTATTGTATTACCATTTGACGCGAACGAACCGGAGTAAAATAAGTTTTGGTAGAAACAAGTCAGTGTAGGTATAAAGAACAGGACCCAGAAGTGCCCAAAAGCTCTGCGAACGGTATCTGAAACTGATGTTGAAGGTGGTTATTCCTCACTAAATCCACTTGAAGCGACACGCTCTTGGGCGGCGTTGAAGTAAACTGAGAACACAGAATTGTGTGAATAGGTAAATGGGGTTGGAGGGAACAAATGCAGCGTATGAAGGTAGAACACGAAATAGGGGCGAGAAGTGACAACACAGCGCTTGAAGAGAAAATTGTTCGACGGAATTAGTCACTTTACTCGTCAATTTGATAAAAATTGTAACTATGTGTAAACGATGGTGCCAATAATTGACGATGCTGGGAATGTAGCAGGTCAACGGTCGGATGCTGTAAATCACGAATAGTTTGGCAGATGATGCAGAACTAATTACGCTCCGCAAGGTCTCTCTGTCACTCTGACCAAATTGCAAAAACGAGGCTAAACTAACACAAAGACTTACTAAAGTTTAGTGGTATCGTGGGGGGCCTATTCATTTAAATGAAAGAAAATTCTAACATAATTACTTCATCACTTTACACCCACCAGGGTAGCTACAGTTCTTATTTTAACGTTACTTTAACCCAATTTTAAAATACATTCATATTTACGTTTGGTAACTACTTCTTTCAGGAGCCGTTTTTTCATTATAATTTACTCTATATTTTCGCATTACATGCGAAGTCATCAGGTCAGTAACTATGTGAAAATTTTGGAACTAAAAAATTATCTGGATTGGCAGTACCATAAGACTGAAATGCCACTCATATCGCATGTGGGATCAGAATTAGCTGAATAATTGCAATAATTGCAATAATTGCCTATTATCAGTCACTAGCTACGCCTGATTGATTATAATTCCAAGTTCATTTCCAACTCCATTATAATCCTCACTACCATACCAACCGGCAGCATCGTCAAGGCGCTTTTATATTCACAGTGAGTATGTTTCGAGACGTTGATGAAGTAAAAAGCAGCGGTTATATTTTCCATCATAAAATATCATAGTCTTGCAACGCCCAGTTCGACTGGTACAATCGGTACCACGAATATGTGTGAATTTGTAGTCTGAATCAAGTGTGTAGCCAAGTTTGGTGGATTATCTTTGATCGGATGTTTATAAATGCTTGCGGCTCTCGGGCCGAGCACATTTGGCACACTCAATTGTTGTGACAACCCAGCACAGGGTCAACCACCAAAACTTTCGCCGGAGGACCATAAATTCCCTTCTCCTAACGGTTAAGAGATTTACCTTAGAACGATTTGAAGAGAATCACCTGCTCTGATGAGTTTGATCCCATTTAAAACTTTTAAAGACCCTATGGGTTTGGATATCTCATCCATTCCATCTGGTTTTCATCAGTTTCGTGTGGTTTTTATGTGGACCAAGATGTTGAGTCCTCTGGTATGGTCGCAGTATCCTGCGATTTATCGAAGTGGGTTGACCTCGTTGTCGCAACTTGGTCTTGTTGTCAGGACGAATTAGTAGAACTAATCTAATGTGAAGTCGTCTGCAATAGTAGTTGTCATGATTCCCAGCGTCAGACAGTGGACCTGGTACATTCTCAGACGTTTCGCCGGCATCATAAGTCAGTTTTGCCATTCTCAGCACCGAGCTACGAACTCGTCAAAATAGACAAGTGAAGTCAATCCCTCGACAAACGGATACACTTTCACTCCTCTTTCCATCCTGGCCTATCTATCTACTCTTAACCCCCTTATCCCACTGCCCCTACATTACAACTTCTCACCAATTAGACTAAATGGTCCAGTCGTTGTGTCAGCAAGCCTTAAGCTGATGTTTTTGCCTATCCTGCAAGGCACTACTTGACTTTATATAAAGTAGGCATCGCAACTATCAATAAATCTAGAAGTGGGTTAACCTCGTTGTCGCAAATTGGTCTTGTTGTCAGGACGACTTAGTAGAAGTCACCTAGTCCGAAGTCGTCTGCCATAGTCGTTGTCATGATTCCCAGCATCAGACGTTTCGCAGGCATCGTAGTCGGCATCATCAGTCAGTTTTGCCATT